GGTGGGACCCGTCGGGCGATGAGTCCGGTTGGGGTTGGGAGCGGCTGGCGAACTACAGAGATGGGAGGTTCTGTCGGGAGGGGATCGAGGCAGTCGGTTATGATGGGAACAAGCTTTGCATGGTGAACGTGAATGGGGCCCGGTCGGTAAAACAGGGAGCGGTCTACGATGTCGTGGAGGATAGGTGGGAGGAGATGCCGAGGGGAATGCTCGGAGGGTGGAACGGGCCGGTTTCAGTCGATGAATGTGACGAAAGAGCTATGTATGTTGTTGATTGGAAGGACGGGTCTATTAGCACGTACGATAGGATTAACGACCGGTGGGTGGGTGTGGTCGGGGGTTTGGAGAAGCTCAAGGGAGCCGAGAAGGTGGCGGTGCGTGGGGGGAAGATGTGTGTAGTGTCGGAGGAGGGTCGACAGATTTTGGTGGTGGATGTGTTGACAAGGCCGCCGAATGTGTGGGTTGTGGAACCGCCCGGAGGGACAGAGGTTGTAGCGGTCCATGTGTTGCCGAGGATGGCGATTCCGGAGGATGAACTGTTTTAGTTTTATGGGTGAAAGTTTGGAATGTTCGTGTGTTGGTTGTTGTCGACGATGTGAATAAATAAGTTCTTCTGTGGAAGTTCAAATAGTGGAAGGGAGAAGAGAAGAAGAAGCTACAAGGAAGAGGGAATTGTGTGTTTATTTTAATGATCAGTTAAAGGGTGAGTGTCATCAACTAGATCATGTTGGGATTAGATTATACTAGTGTTAGCCTTCTGTGTTGGGATGGGATTATACAAGTATTAACCTTCTAATGCATAATCGTGTGTGAGAACATTAGTATAATGAAAAATAAAAGTTAGAGTTAGTATATGTGCAAATAAAAATAATTTTAACCGTGTGGAGTAATTTTCCCATTTATATGTGGATTGGACACCGTGTGGTATTTGGGTTGGTTGTATCTCCAAGTATTTGGGTTGGGTTGGTTATATAATTTTAGAACAAAAAATAATAATAATTAATGTCAAGAAAAATATTAAGTTATCATACCGAACTACCGAAGTAATGAATATTTTCAAGTATCCAATCATGCTTAGATTATGTACTAGTACACTTTGTAGAGCTAGTATCTCAGAACGTTTATCTTTTACAAGAAAAGAAATCAAAGCATCCATAATATTTTGAGTCTCTTAAAAAAAAATCACATGTCATGTAAGAAATAGACTTAGTCTTAAAAAAGTGTTTCACAATGTAATTAAAAGTGGACTTAGTCTAGTTTATGTGACAATAAAATAAAAAGAGACCAGTCCACACTTGAGTCTATTTTGGACTCAAGTACAAACACAAACACCCATCATTTATTCCTAATTTAATTTTTCTTTTAATAAAGGAAACATATTAGGGTAAATTCGATGCTGCCCCTAGGGGCACTGCAGTCAGCCCTTAGAGGCCCTTGATTTATACACAAACACACACACACCCACATGGGTGTGTGTGAAATCAAGGGTGGTGGGGGCATGACTGCACTGCCCCCACCTGTAGCATCGAATTTTCTACATATTAGAGCATTTTTATTGGTTGACATGTATGCTAGACCTAGTATTTTATTTTTGCATTGAATAACTTTTAAGATTTTTTACTTGAGCTTGTCCATGTAATTTAAGACTTAAGTTTATTTATATGCCACATATGTAAAATTAGACACAATACATTGTGAGTGCTCTTATATTTTAAAAAATGTTCCAATTCCTTTCCTTGATAATTGAACGTACCGGTGAACTTGATATTGGAATGAAAATAAATAAATAAATTTGATTTCACATTTTAAATGAATGTTCTAATTTCTATTTCACTTCTTTGATAATTGGCACGTTTAATTGTGATCATATATATATTTAATTCGAGTAAACATATACACATGAATTGAAACGTGATATTTGAACTCTAACTATATATATTTAATTCGAGTAAATACATATCCATGAATTGAAACGTGATATTTAAATGAAAATAATTGAGTAGTGATGAGATTATACTATCATATTCGAGTAAATGAAAATAATTGAGTAATGATGAGATTATACTATCATATATATAATTTAATTGGAGTAAATACATACACATGAATTATTAAACGTGATATTGGAATGAAAATGATTGAGTAGTGATGAGATTATACTCAGATTTGAAATACTGCTAACAAGAAATACGTGGTGATATACTTCATCTTGCTACTTCACTCAACATACTAACAATTCACTGGACATACCAACAGTCTTCCGATAATGCTACTTCACTAAACATACCAACAATTCACCCCAACAGTTCACTGGCCACAATTCACTGGACATACCCACGGTCTTGCTGTAGTGCTACTTCACTAACATACCAACAATTCACTAGACATAACAACAATTTTTAAATATCTACTAACCCCTCCCTTAAACAAAATAACTATTTACTAGGCACCCATTTTAATTTTATGAGTTACATATTTGAAACTTGGTGCTCTTCTCACTCCTAATTATATAACTTCCATTTTAAGTGTAAAGTTCTACAAACTATTCCAAGTGTCATTTGATGAAAGTTCTAAATTTTATATATGTTCCCCTCAATGAAGTTATAAATTTTCTATATCATCCCTACAATGCAAACTATGTGAAAGTTTTAAAGTTTCTCTACAATCCTACAGTCTAAAGAATGTGTTAGAACAATGTCCATTTCACCATAGACCATTCTGAATAACTCTATGCTCGTCCTAACACCAAGTATGATCTGTAGAGCTCCATACTACCCTCGTCAATGTCATACACGGTCTCTAATGGTCGGGTGACATTGGCGTATAGGTTATAAAAAGTGTCGAAATAAAATTTATCAGGATCTTTTGATAGCTGCAGATAACTAGTTTCGTTAATAATGATGCGGATATTTAAACATTATTATTATTATTATTATTATTATTATTATTATTATTATTATTATTATTATTATTATTATTATTATTATTAGCTTTGTGGACAATATTGCTTTAGGATTTGTGGTGTCTTATTTAAAGACTTTCTTTTCTTTATTATTTGGGAGTTGATTTTGAATGAAAAAAAGATATTGTTGAGTTTTACGTGTTTTACGGGAGAGTATCTCGTTTACTCGTTTATCGGGAAAATTTCAAAACTAGTCCCACAGATATAGGGGGGTGACATTTTTGGTCCCAACGGAATTCAAAAAATATTAATAGTCCCGCAACTTTTAAAAAATAATCAAAAGTAGGACTTTTTTCAATTTTTCGGCCCGGTATGCCACGTGGCACACACGTGGCGGGACTATTTAAGATTTTATGATTTTTTTTGGGACCAAAAATGTCACCTCCCAAAACCTGTGGGACTAGTTTTGATTTTTTTCGTTGCCATTGTACTCGCCACGTCAGATGAATGTGGCCACGTGGCATTCCACGTCGGAAAATTGAAAAAAGTCCTACTTTTGATCATTTTTTAAAAGCTGCGGGACTATTAATATTTTCTGGATTCCGTTGGGACCAAAAATGTCACCCCCCTATACCTATGAGACTAATTTTGAATTTTTCCCCTCGTTTATCCTTCTCATTCGTACGCTTCTCCTACATCCAGCAGTCAGTACGATTCGCGATGCCGCCGAGACAACAAAATGCCGCAAACGAACGACGTGATACGACCTTCAACGATCGGTTTCAACAGATCGACTACCGATTTCAACAATTGGACGTGGATTGGTTTGTTGATCTTTCGACGGGGATTATTTGCATTTGACGCTCAACAATGTGGTTGTTTCGGAATTGCAAACGAATCGCGATGGAGCTGTGGGCCGTGGCTTTCGCGAGGGAGACAGAGGCGGTTGTGGTGGACACAGCCATGTCGGGGTGCCCCGGCAGCGGTCCCCGCCACCTCTGAACGGCATCAAGGATGGTGACTTTACCTGGCCGTCTAACCCGTTGGCAGATCGACTACCATGGCGAGGAGACGAAACCCCAGGTCAGCCCCGAGTTCGCGAGCAGAGGCGGGCTGGAGGTAGTTTCGTACATGGCGGCGACCGAGACGACGAGAAAACTCTAGGTGCGGTTCGATTGTACGACGGGCCATTGTATAACGGTCTCCGGTGTTTGATAAAGGACCCGAGGAGGTAGAGGAGTACTTACCGGCGAAGTGGACGGCCTCTACGACGATCCGCCGATCTTTGATGAATAGCCTCCGGGGACAGAGACACATCTTTGCAGCGATTTGGGCCCCGTGTGGAACGTAGTAGAATTATCGCATCACAGTGTTTATAGCTGGAATTATATCATAGATGGACTTTTGCGAATGAGGTTTATTGTGGGAAATGTTCTCGAGCTTCTGCACGATTTGGGCCCCGTGTGGAACGTAGTAGAATTATCGCATCACAGTGTTTATAGCTGGAATTATATCATAGATGGACTTTTGCGAATGAGGTTTATTGTGGGAAATGTTCTCGAGCTTCTGCACGAGATGGTTGAATTTGTATGTGCTTTTGATGGAGTTGCATTTACTATATCTTTGACTTTGGCGTCCTTAGTACAGAATTTTGACTTAGGGAGGCAAATTCACAGACAACTTCTTCTGAGTGGGATAACTGGATAAGGCATGATGTATTAATGTATAAGGGTTTTTATGTCTTTTCCTTTCTATTAGTATTGTTGTAACAAAACCGTGTTTCTTGTATTAGCACTTTCAGTTGTATTGTTAGAGTATAAATAGTTGTTGCATTAGGGTTTCAAGACACTTTTTCACTTTACAAGTTCTGAATAAAAGTTCTCTCTAATTTTCTTCCGCTGTTCTTCAGTTTTCTCTCTCTATAATTCTGGATTCATGATCTTAATATGGTATCAGAGCTGGTTTTTGATCTGTTTTTTCGCTTCCGCATCTAGATCGCTACATATTACTCTTTGTTTTTTCGATTTTTTTTTTCGATTTTGCTCGACATCGATCGTGTTAGGGTTTCTGGATCTACATATTTGTCCAGATTCATTAACATATCGATCGTTCTATACACTATATTGGTCAGATCTCCTTGATTCTGATCTCCTATTACTTGGATTCACCCTCGCTGTTCCAGATCTGTTCATATATTCAGTCATGGCTGCTGTTCCACCTACTGATGATCCATCCTAACCGTTCTTCCTCCATCCGAGTGACAATCCCGGCGCACTGATCGTTGCTGAGTCCTTTTCCGGTGACAATTACGTTTCCTGGTCCCGCGCTGTGCTTATGGCACTCAGTGTCAAGAATAAATCCGGTTTTATCGACGGTACAATTTCAATCCCATCTTCTTCTACTCATCCTGCTCTATATGTTGCCTGGGTACGTGCTAATAACCTAGTCCTTTCCTGGTTATTAAACTCTGTGAATAAGGACATTAGGCAATCATTGTTGTTTTTTACCTCTGCCAAAGATGTGTGGGAAGAACTGAAATCTCGATATGCTTTGAGTAGTGGCCCTAGGGTTTTCCAACTTGAAAAATCCCTTAGTTCCATGGACCATGGTGCTCTCAATATTACCCAATATTATAATTCTTTCAAGTCTCTTTGGGATGAATACATCACCTACAGGCCAATATTTCGTTGTACTTGTGGTGCCTTTAATAACTGCTGTTGTTATGTGATTCTTAACAACGATGTAATTTATGATTAAGTGGGTAATTTAGAATTATTTGGACGTAAAGCATGTAAGATTGAATCGACAATGGCCCCGGTCCGAGGTGAACCGAGGTGAAGAGCCGTGATGGGCTTTTACGTGTTGCTTTATCAAGTTTTTTCAGTTCGGAGAGAGATCCCCTTACAAATGTCATAGGCCCGCTATTTATAGTAATTTCGGGTTGATATATTGGGATCTGTGCATGAATTTTTCGAATAAAGCTACTTTTTGTGGGCGGTTCGAGGCAGGGGGTCCCACATAAATGATGACGGATCTTGTGGAGCTGGAGGGTCAGACGTAGGCGCCTTGTCACCTGCTTAGGGAGGTGACGACTTCGGTTCATGTTGATCTCGGAAGGTGTTGACCTCGGTAGTCGTTGACCACTTCGGTCTTTGGTCGGTTTAACAGTTAATCGCATTTAATAGGATGCTTAAAACCTCTTAACAGTGTCTTGCCGAGTCGGATGATAACAGAGAGGCCCCCAACATCGATGGGCATACGGAGTGATGGTCGTTGATGTTGCAATATACCAGGTATTTAGAGACCCTGGATCGGCAAGAAGTCGGCGGTAGGATGTGGTCTATGGTGTTCGGTGGATCATCTTTGGTCGATCTACTGATGTAGCCGAAGTGGATCATCTGTCCGAAGTGTAGACCGTATGCCGAGGTGAAGACACTTGGTAAAATTTGAGTAATTTGCAGGCAGCTTGGGCAGGAAAAAGACGAACAGTCGTAACGGTCAATTTAATGAGAGTGAATAGTTGCGCCGTAATGACCTTAAATGAGGTAACGGTCGACTTTAATAGGACGCCACGTGTATTTGTAGGTGCCTGTTAGGCGAAGAGGTGGTGTCGATTGGAATTAGGGGTCGCGTCGGTTAGACGCGCCCCTAATTAAAGTCTCTAACGGTCGTGAATCGGCAATTATAAATAGGGTTTCGTAGCGTCTGATCGAACTTTCTTCACCTGTGCTTTCATTCTCGAATTTTTGTGTTCGATAATCCTGTTGTAGAAATCCTTTCTGAGCTTGAGAGTTGTTTCTTGTGCGCTGAATATTTCCGGATTCGTGGTAAGCTTCTTCTTTGATTCTTTGTTCATTTCTTTTGTGTTGTGTTCTGTGGTACGATGGCGTCAAAAGATAAGGGTAAGGCGGTGGCTAGTTCATCGAGTACGGAGTCGGTTCCGTTGGATGTTTATCACGATTCGGAACTGGTGGAGTTGGCCTTCGAATATGACCGATGGGACCCGTCGTTGGTAAAGCATTTGGATATCAGGTTGAATGATGAGGATGGCGACGCGGTTGTGGAGCAGAACGCCGTCGATCTCGAGGTGCCCCATTGGAGGAGGCCGGTGAGGAAGTGGCCTGACCCGCAGGTGGATTTTGAGGGTGAACCCAGCATTTTAACCGACGTCGACGTGGTTCTGTTGCGGGAGCAGGTGAGAATTCCTCCTTCGGTGAAGGTTTTTGCCCCGTACCCCGGAGAAAGGATTACAAGTCCGCCTCCTGGTTGCGTGGGTATCTTTGCAGAGAGTTTGAGGTCGGGATTGAGGTTCCCGTTGCCCAACCTTATTACGGAATACCTCCGAAGTTGGGGGTTACCCTTGTGCCAAATCACTCCGAATAGTTGGAAGAAGATAATCGGTTTAATGGTGTTGTTGCACGAGAAAGGCGAAGGCCTTCCGTCGTGCGAAGAGATGAGAAGTATTTTTGCCTTCAAGAGGAGTCCAAAGAGACACATCGCGGAGTCTTCGTGTTGCTTTTTTGCTGGGGCTAAACCACAACGCGGTATGAAGGTCGGTGAAATCATTACCGACATTCCCGATACTCTCCACGGGTTCCAAGAGGAATGGCTGTGGGTTGGTGGAGAGTGGCAATCCGAAAGCTTCTTCCATGAACCTCGGATTGACGGAATGACAATCCCCATGTTTATACATACTGGAGCAAGTGAGTTTACTTTATTTTTCACTTCGGATGTACCTTTCTAATTTTGCTTTGTTCTGTGTACTAACAGGTCGGAACTTTTGCTATTTGTAGAAAAGGAGACGAAGCAGGCAGAGCCGAAGTTGAGTCCTGAGTTCGGTGGAAAGTTGATTGCTGTTGCTAATGCGAAGAAAGAAGAACGAGATTATCGTAAGCTTCTCGTAGATTCTAAACTTGAGACTGCTGGATTATCTCCGGGGATTATTAATTCGAAATTTGATCCTGGTAAGCGACTGTATATGCGGTCAACTTCTCTCTTTCTCTCCTTTTTTTTTACGATTTTTGAGATATTAGCAGACACTCAATCATGCTATGGGTGGCTGATCATTCAATGTTTTTTGACGTAGTATATTACCCGCTCCTCGGCTTCTTGGGTTACAATTCGGTCAAGGAGGCTAAAGAGTTCAGACGCAAATACCCGAACAAAGATTTGCTTTCCAAGTTCGGTAAGAGCAGAGATTTGAGACTAACCAACGCCATGAGGAGAGACTTGGTTCGCGCTTTGGTGAAGAAAACTGCCGGCCAGAAGAATACTGGTAAAAAATCTGCCGACTTGGGGTCAAGTGCGACTTCGGCGGCTGTCCTGGAAGGTCCGAAATCTTTACCAGGAGTGACGGCCACCGATGTGCCGGCGGTTGAGAATGTTGCGACTGTTAATCAAGCTGATATCGAGCCGATAGTGATGGGGACCGAGTTGGTCTCAACCGAGGTCGTGCATGCCGAAGTACAGGAACCCGAAAAATCACCTTCTTCTCCGAAGTCCAAGGAGTTAGAGCAACCGGAGAAAAGGAAGAAGAGGAAATTAGTGAAGATGTCCAACGTCGGTGCTTCCTCTGGTGCGGAGAAGAGGACCAAGAAAAAACATGACTCCGGTCGTAAAACTGGTGAAAGGGGTCACGATGAGTCCCCCTTGTTTGAGAAATCATTCTTAACAATCGATGAAGAGCGGGCTGCGAACGTTAAAGTGCCCGAGGGGGTCGTAGAGGATTGGTTCAGTACTTTCTTGTCGGTAAGGTCTCCGCACATGTCG